ATTACTATTTCTTGTTCATATCTTAGTATAGCTTCTTTTGTCTTCTAAACTCCACTATACTATATATATTTTCTTCTAATACAGCCTTTTTGTTAGTCATCTAAAGGATGTTTGCTAGCCTATTTTTCTGTTATTCTTGTATTTTGTTTCTATTTGTTTTGAAATTGAAAATTAGCAAGAAGAGTTTTCAAAAAAAATAATAATATATATTTTTATATATGTTTTGTATTAATTTAATATATTTATTGTATATTAATTTTATTTATTTATTTTTTTTATGTTAAACAGCTTCTTTTGAAGCTAGAGCTTTTTATTCAGTATAGTTAGAATATAGAGACTTATAGCCAAGACCTCAAAGGAGTCTTCTTACATTAGAGAGTACAACTAGTTACATATACACTTTTAGTATCTAATTAAATAAGACACTGATGGTTCTATACTAGCTTCTATACCTGTAACTCAACTAAGAGTGTTGCCTATTTAATCTCTTTATACTGCAATCTTACTATATTACTAGATTATCTCTGTTATATAAGTTAGTTGAGAAGGTCTAGATGCTTATCTGTATTCTTAGGACCTTATATCTTATTTTATACGTATATTCTTAGAAGCATCATTACTAGAGCCTTCTGTGTTCTATACACAGCTAATTTAGTTTTATATAATATGCTATAGTTACCTAATACTTGCAGTTAGGGCTAATCTTAAACTACTATGTTACACTATTTTTACACTTGTAAAGTTTATCCAAACCCCAGTACCTATCTTCTTAACATCTTCTTCATTATTTCTTACTAACTACAACTTAGAATCATTGGTTTCATTCCAGACTACCAATCCAGATGTTTCAGTATGATATATCTTAGTATTCTTTTTCTTAGCAAATCTAGCAGCCTGGTTGGTCTGTGCTTCTTTATACATCTTGATGTTCAGTTTTAATCTTTGGCTCTTATGAAGGTGTTTCATGAGCTTTTATCAGTCTGACAGCACTATCAAAAGTTTGTACTACTTTTTTACTCAAGAATTTCCAAGTAGAATTCTGTTTCTTTAGTTTCTTAGTCTTTTATGTCTGATGGTTTTATCATGGATTTGCACCAAAGTCTTATGCAATATCAGTTATTAACATTGCTTTATGTATATGTAATATTACACTTCGTATAGATGCTCTGAGCTCCCAATGTCAGTAGAACCTGACTTGGTGTATCTGGGTTACAGCCATATGAGACCAACCAATTAACAGAAGACAGTTTCTATAATACAAATATAATTTCCAAATTTTGTCATAAGTGGGATTTGAACCTTAGACCTGCTACTTAGAGGATGACAACCTAACCACTACACTAGGATCACCATCCTCTATATATTAATTTTATATTAAAATCATTCTGTATTAATTTAATAGATTTATTATGCATTAATTCTGTATCAAAAATTATTCTATATTAATTTAATATATTTATTGTATATTAATTCTATATTAAAGATTGTTTTATATCAATTTAATATATTTATTATACATTAATTTTGTATCAAAGTTTATTCTATATTAATTTAATATATTTATTGAGTATTAATTTTGTATCAAAAATTGTTCTATATTAATTCAATATATTTATTGTACATTAATTCTGTATCAAAGATTATTCTATATCAATTCAATATATTTATTTAGTATTAATTTATTATATAACTATATTATTCTATATATATATATATATAATATTTGGTATATTTTTTATAATTTTCTTTATTATTTATGTATATATTTTTTATAAAAACTGAATCTTAGTACAATCTAAATCAGACTAGTATATGCTACTTAATTGCTGTTCTTCTTCAAAAAAGTAATCAAAATATTATTAAAGTTTTTGAACTCTAAGTTGGTAACTATTTTAACTAATTTTAATCTGATAATAATATAAAATTAGTTTTATATAGAAAACAAAAAGTTCTTAAAAAAAATAATAAACTTTTCTTCTAACTGAATAAAACTTTTGATACTAGCTATTTTAAGTATAATAAACAATTTACTATCACTACTTTATATTAAAATTTTAGTATTTTAGTTGATCTTTATAAGAAATGCTTATATATTAAGCACTAAAATAAATTAAACCAATATAATAAATACTGTATAAACTGCAATCTCTTATTAATAAACATTTTTAATTCTAAACTTATTTCAGAACCAACCTTTATTAGTACTAACAAAGTAACTAAAATACAACTTTAGTTAAACTAACAAGCCTAACTAATTTAATAATTACAAGTACAGATTCAATTTTTTTAAGATATTAATACACAAATTTTACAATTTTTTTAAAATAATTTTTAGCATATATGACAACAAAAGAATATTCTTGAAACTTTCTTAAGATCTTAAAATTTTTAGACAATTTTAAACAAAATAAAAACTTATTTGCTAATACAAACAAGCTTAAAACAGACTTTAATAATCTTATATTCTAAATAGTATGTTTTATTAAAATTTGTATTTTTTATAAAAAATATACTTTAATTTTAGAAACAATAGTAAATATTAGATTTTTGCAACTGAAACAAAAACAACAATTTAAAAAATTGTTAAAAGAATTTTTAGACCTTTTTGCATTAGATATAACTAAATTAGATTATTTATAAAATTTATATTAAATATATTTTTTTATTTAATTATATTCTATTCAATATTTCTAACAGAACAGATATTTATAAAGAAAGAAATATAATAGATGCTTAATAATAAACTTGTTTAATCCTCTAGTAGTCTTTGAATCTCTTTTGTTGTACTAATATAAAAGAAAAATAATAAATTGCATTTTTGTATAAGCTATAAAAAGCTTAATATTGTTATAAAGAAAGATATATATTCATTATTATAAATAGATAAAATGTTTAATGCAATTGTAGAATCAACAAATTTCTTTATTTTAAATCTTGCTAATGGATATTGGCAAGTTGATATAGACTTTAAGATAAAGAAAAAACTGCTTTTATTAAACATTATAATATTTATAAATTTAATATAATGCCTTTGAACTTTGTAATATATCTGAAGTATTCTAAAAATTAATAAACAGAGTTTATAATCAAATTGCATAAAAATTTGCTTAGATAATATTATTATTTATTTTAAGATATTTGATGAATATCTTGAATATTTACAAAAAACTTTATAAAAATTTAGAAAACTAAATTATAACTAAATATTAAAAAATATAACTTTTAAATACAGAGCCTATTTTTTTTAGACCATATTATATTAGCAACTAGAATTGCTTCTAATTCTTAAAAAACAAAAACTATTTATAATATATAATTTTTTATAAATGTAATTCAACTTAGATCTTTTTTAAAACTCATTAGATATCATAGATAATTTATTCAAATTTTTTTAAATATTGCAAGACCTTTTAATTATTTAATAAAAAAGAACATTATTTATAAATAACATTTTTTACAACAATATGCTTTTGGTAAACTAAAAAAAAGACTGACTATTATTTCTATATTAGCTAATTCTAATTTTAAATACTTTTTTATATTAACTACTAATGCTTCTTATTATAGATTTAGTGCTACTTCTAGTTAGGAAAAGATAAAAAAGAACACTCTATTGTCTATACAAGTAAAAGTCTCTGAAAAGAATAATAAAATATAATGCTACTAAATTAGAATATGCTACTATAGTTTAGACAATTAAACATTTTTATAATACTTAAAAACTACAAAATTTATTTTAATAACTAATTATTATGCTTTTAAATAACTATAATAGCTAAATCTAAAGAATAAATTAGAAGATCAATATTTAAATTATAACTTTATAACTTTAAAATAATCTATAAACTAGAACAAGTTTATTCTAATATAGATGCTTTCTTAAGATTACTAACTCAGACATTATTTATATTATTCTAATAAATTTAAACTAATATATTAATCTATACTATCTAAAAAGCTAATAGACATAAAAGAAAAATAATTAATTAAACAGATCAGATATTTTAAAACAAAATATAAATTATTATATAAAAAGAAAAAAAAGACCTAAGTAATGTAATAACCTAATAAAGTAAATAGATTGTTAATCTTCAAGTAATAGATCTAATATTCAAATCTTATAAGTAATAAAATTTAAAAATTATATTTGTGTTATAGTAACTGTCTTTTGTTGATTAGTTAGATTTATGAATTTGTAACCTTAGATATACCCAAGTTAGATCCTACTTATTATTAAAAACTTAAGACAAAGTATAACATTATATGTATATAGAGAAATAGTAATAACCAGTGTTATATAAGACTTCAATACAAATTTACAATAAAACTATCAAATACAAAAAACTAAAAAACTAAGAAGATGAAATTCTACTTAGAAATTTTTAAATAAAGAAATAATACAAACTTTTAACAATATTATTAGATTAATAAAAACCTATAAACACTTTTAAAAGCATTGATAAGATAAACTGAACAACAAAGATATATAAAGGAACACATACCAACTAGACTACTAGATTTGCTAAAGGAAAAGAATGCAGAAGTATATTATACTGAGCTATTTGAATTGGTAATTTGAAGAATTAAAAACAACCTGAAAAAGGATTAGTAAAAGAACATGAAGAAAATACAAAAAGATAAATACTGAGATTTGAATAAACTTTACAAAAATAGAAATAATATAATGTAACAGTTTAAGGTTAATTCTGACTGCATGTATTAAATAACTATTACATATTGCATAAAACTAGGTTAGTTGTGTGTGAAACATGAAAGGCTTTAGTAATGATGCCTTTGAGGATGCACTGCATAAAATAAGGTATAGTGTCCTAAGGATACAAATAAGCATCTAGACCTTCTCGACTGAAATATATATTGGAGATGATCTAGTAATACAATAAGGATTACAGTACAGAGAGTTTAAATAGGCAATGCCTGTAGTTGGATTGCAAATAGTTGGGCACTTATTAATAGTATGCACATTCTTACCATACTAATAATTAGAAAGCTTTATGATTTGTATCCGAGTAAATCCGATTATTTGTGTCTGAACGAACCTGACGATTTATATCAAAGTGAAACTGGTAATTTGTATCAGTGTAAGCCTGATTATTTGTATCTATGAGTGGATTAGACATTTTTGTCCCGTATTTTCGGTACAATATAAACCCAGCTGCTACTAATACGCTAATAAAAGTAAGGGAACCTATTACACCACCCACTACTGCATCTACATTGAACGATGATTGAGATGATGTGGATGTGGATGAAGGTGGTTGGGTGTTTGAAGTTCCATACTTTCCCAAAATGAAGTTCGTCAATTGTAAATCTTTCGGATCTTTGGTGATATCTGCAATCGCAATTCCTGCCAAATTCTGTTTTTTATGTAGTCGAGTTTAGAATTTAATGATTGATAATTTTCATAAAAAGTAATATAGTAGTATTTTGAAGATGAATTTTGTAGGTAAAGATATGGTTGTTTTGCATTACTAATAAAACCATAGGTCCATTGTGACGATGGATTTAAATTTGTAGGACAAGAAGATGGTGATAATTGACTACTTAAATTTTCCCATGCCCAATATGCATATGTTGAATAGTGACATTGATCTGAAATCGGCTCATTAGTAAAAGTGAATTCAATATTTGGGTCATTTACTGGTTGAAGATGTTGATTTTTAATGTTTGATTTAATATTATTAGAAGAACAATTTCGACAACACCACCAAGTTCAATTCCTAAAATAAGGTTTGAATTATTCTTATTTATAGCATTACTCCAAGAAGTTAAAATTTGGGATATTTTGTCTATTCCAGCACTTGTATATGTATTATTTATATTAAGATGAAAGCCTAAAATTTTTATAATTAGATTAATAAATATTTATATCACTTCTATGTAAAGAAAAGCAAGTCAAAGTTTACTTGAATATTTATAAAATTAATGATATCATATGTCATATTTATAGGATATTGGCCTGCCGTAATCGTTAAACTCTTATTACCTAATTGCACTGTTATGCTACTTATAAAACTTGAAAAGGTAGAATTAAAATCGAATAATAGTTGAGGACTGCACGGAAGCTTAAAGGAATAATCAATGTCAATCTACAAGTTAATAAAAAGTAATTATTTAACAAATGGGTGTTATTTCATTCCGGAGGGTACGGGGTTACTGGACTTGGAAAAATCTAACCATACCGATTCAAGCATTGATATTAATATGACGAAATAATGTAATAATATATTATTCTTTGAAGCTAATAGCCATATTCCTAGAGGTGAGAAAGGTAATTTTATTACTACTTATTATGTAAAAAATTTAATCACATTCGCGAAAATTTAGATGTTATTAGTTGTAAGTGTATATTATTATTATTAAATTGTCGCATAGTGTGATTTAATTTTTTACGTTGTAAACGTAAAACGGCGAGTCAGTCGCCCCACGCTCGGATTTCTCGTGTAACCACTTAGGAGGGTTTATGTTAGATCGAAAGAGGCGTGTTAGATTTGGCGAGTGGTTAACAAGATTTAGTCGGGTTCTATTAGCAAAGGAGGTTTCGGGTTGGTGATTGGTTAAGTGTACTGGCGTATTTTGTAATTAAAAGTTAGGGACAGATTAGTTTATAGCGATTACTTTTAACGTTAATAAATATATCCGTTTTATTATTTATACAAGTAATTTATTATGAGTGATCATGAAGAATGTGTACTATGTATCAGTTGCAAAGGGGAAGTTGTTCTTCCCGAAGGGCCTTTTGGCCTTTATTTATAATTACAAAAACTTATTTACATCTTGCGATGGATACGACTGACATCACCTAAAAGACCCTTCTTACCGATCGCTGCTATCCGTCGACTGATGCGACTGATCTTTTCCTAATTGAGATATGAACCCCCAAACGGTACTCTGGATATAATACAATCTACCGACAAACTTTGCATAATACCCGGGAAGTGATTTTCATATGAATATTCCCCGGTGGGTATTTTACATTCTATACTATGAAAATTTTAATAGGGCACTTTGCACAGGAAGTACCTTTGTCAGCGTTATACGGTAATTACATTGTCCGTCTTTACATATTCCGTTAAGTATTAAATCCGAAGTTCAAGAATTACTAATTTCGCTTAGCGACACCCAATGATATAAAATAAAATTAATTGATCTTACTTCGTCAAAACCATTAGCAGGAACAATACTAACTAAGTCACTAGCGAATTTCAAATGTTCAATGCTATTCGGATCATACAACGCCAATTTATTATTTATATCAGGTATAATATTAAAGAAACTAATTAAATTATTCACATCATTTGGTAGCAGGACTGATAGAATCATCTATAACATAGCGATTCATCATTACTGTTAATTTTAATAAGTCTTTTTAATGTAGAATTAATATATTTAATATATTTTACCTACCTTAAATGTTAGATTATTTTTTCCCTTATAATTTAACAGATTATTAAATTTGGAAGTTGTCTGTTAAAAAATATCAATGGATCACCGCCACCACCATTAACATTTACGCCATTATTAACAAGGTCATTTGGACCAAATGCTATATGTATATGAAATAACTTTATTCAACTTAATTGAATTAAATAGACTTAATGTTAAGCTTTAATTTGCCAATAAAGTTTAAGTAATTAATTGATGAGCTGATGTCAAAATCTGCTCCCGGTGTTAAATTAAGTTTATAAGCAGGATAAGAATCTTCGGTTTAGTTGGTGATAAGTTGCATGAGTCCTGACTGACTTAATACTTTTTTTCTTAATGTGAATATGAAAAAGGTATATAAAACAAGCATCATGAACTTATAAAATGGTGAAAAAATTCGAATTTTCATGTTTATTATAATATAAAAGTTTTCGAGTATAAAGCTAACGTTAAAAAAAAAAACCAAATCATGAATATATGGGATAAGGTGCACAGAAAAAATTCAATATCAAGATAGTCAAAAAAAAAACTCTAAAGAAAGCCACAAACGAGTATTAGAATTAGGATTGTACTATGGAAATATTTAATTCTTGCCCAATATCGATATCGTAGTGTCACAACGTTTAACATTAATGTTAAGGTTAAAATAGATGTATGCCCCTTGATTTTTATTCAATTGAGGGCATTATGATCAGTTTATATAAGCCTCACTCTTATAATGTCCGCTTTTATAATGTAAGATACGCTACAGAATTAAGTCGAGCATATTCTTTCCTTGAAAATCGACCCATTTTACATGTATAGTTTTTAAAGAATCTCGGGTAACAATGGTTTAAAAAGTGAGACATATGGGCGAAGTTTTTAGTGGAATGCTGTGACTGTATAAAACTAGATGACATAACAAAGTGATAGGTCATTTTGGGTAATCTGTTCGGAACACATTCATAAAAACCGATAAGCAACAAATCACTTCTGGGTCATTCTGGGCTATTTTAGCTAATCTGTTCGGTGCGCTACTCATAAAAACTGATAAGTAACTGATAAGTAACTCTTAAGTAATTTACAATCATTGACAAACAATACTTTTAATCTTAGTAATCACACCGTATTTATATATTATTGGCTCAAATTCTATTTCATTTCATCACTCAACTAATCACAAAATTGAAGATTTCCGCCCATATGAATATTTTTAAGATATAAATTATCTATTCAACTTCAGGTCGAATATACCTTGCGAAATAATTTTTCAATAAGTATTAGGGAATCAGCACGCATGTTCTATAAAAATAATGAGAGCAAAATTAACATGACATTATCATATATCGATATCTTATTAAGTATAATAGATAAGAATCTTGATACGAAGTTATCTATTTTTAAGACTAAAAAGAAAATTAATTTGAACGCAGATACTGATGATGAATACTTAGTAACCCGAAATCCATGATTTTTAACCCGTTCTATATCACCAAAGATCAGTTATGCATCTGAATCTAAAATTTGATTTCGATATATTATTTCGGGTAATTCAGATGTCTTAATATAATGGTTAGAAGTGCCATATAAATAATTTTATTGAATCAAGTGAGTTAACATTTTGATGAGTAAAACTTGGAGGTATAAATCAATTTTTTCAGATGAAAGTATTTTTGTATGTTGAGTTTTCAACATATCGTTACAAGGAACATTTCAATTATTGCAGTTTTCAAAATTTACAGATTATCAAAAGAAAAGAAATCATTCAATTGTTAGGTGATTTCTGATTTTCCGATATCTGGAGAACTTTTCACATTTGTGTTATTTTAAGAAATCTGAAATCATTTAATGCTTGTGTGATTCCTTTTTATGAACCTCAAATCTCTCAGAATGTTGCAATCAGCAATACCAATTCAATTAATTGCTATATTGAGTGATACCTTGATTACTTTTAAATTACATTAAGAGGGATGCTTAAGAACACCTTTAATTTTTCTAAGTGTATCTTGAAGGATGTCGAGTGGGAGATATTGTTAAGAATTTTTTTTCAGTTTTGGTGTTCTTCATATGCTGTTTGAAGTTTGATGATTTTTTATATTACTATTTTTTTTTTCCTTTACTACAAATATTAGGTAACGTGTGCTGATGTGGATGATCATATATATAATTAATCATAATCACGAAATACATTGTCACATGACATTGGTGAACATTTTTAAAAGTGGTCACTAGATTCAGAATGCTGAAGATGTTGGTGAAAATCAACGTCAATTTCATCAATAACGGTGGAACTTTTTACCACTCAAGTTTAATTTTACCAACATCTTTACAGGTGAGGGTTTGATAAACTGCATGAGTTTTTAGAAACATGACCAATAACCATTGTGACAGGTAATTTTTATTGAATTATTCTGAAGAAAAAAATTGTTATATATGATTATTGTTTCTTAAGAGCGTACTACATTTTCTATACCGAATTAGTATAAAGGTCAAAATTTTACAATTCGTTATAAAGGTAACTGATTATAGAAGGAGTTTGTCTCATGCGTAGCCAACAATGTTGAAACTTATCTCATAGTATAAATCTTAAAAAAATCAACAACATTTACTACATATAAAAGTCAAAATTTTACCAAGTAAACCATTTTACTCCTATAAGTAAAGCTATTCAGGAAGTTAAGATACATACTGTATATTCTGAAAGTTCCGTGCAATTTAAACAACCTTTTATAGTACATTTTTTTTAATTTTTGTAAAATTGACAAACTACAGTGGCCTACCACTTTACAAAATAAACCACTTAACAGAGCATAGCGGGCTTTAAATCAGATTGGATGATCGACCGAAATGTTACACAATATGTCCTACATATTAGTGTAACGTTTCTTATTCACAAAAACGAAACCGCAGGGGTTATAGTATAAAAATTTAGAAACTGCACCTTCGGCTCTAAAACATACTAAAGTAATTTGGTAATTAACGAAGTCATTCGGAAGTTAGATGAAAGGTATGTCTAGACGTTTCAATTTAGCCAATAAAACTTACAGTATATTAAACTTGGTAAAATTACTTTAAATATTATTCTAAAAGCAGACACGTATTGCCAGTAAAATAGCTTAGTAACATGAAGCAATGAAAGCATAAGTTTGTAAACTTTATAAGACTTAGTATTACGTTTAAGATTATTAAAGCACAGTAATGCGTCTAAAATTATTAACTTAGGACTAAGATCAAATTTTGGTTGCCATTAATTAACTGTTATTATATGGTGCCGCCAAGTGAAACTAAAAATAGGATTCTATGGACAATGGAATATGAACTTTAAACGATACGAATATGTGATCTAAAAACAGTATAATTTATTATACTAGTCAGAGTCCGCATTCCGTTATGTAAAGAAGTCTATTTTTAGAAGTTCTGGTTTTTATTTGGCGGCACCCATGTACAATTAAAAAATTTGTTTATATAGGTTTATTGTCTCTTAGACTAAATGGTTCATATTTTTAATTTTTTTTGTGCTTTTTATGTTTTATTTTAGTAAGATCTTGGATTAGATGACTCTATTTGTATCTGGCTATGACTTAGACTTTGGGTTGTTAGACTTCATAGTAATGTATTTATTAATATCAATTTAATTTCATACATATTAAATATTTAATCGTTACGGTAATAATCGTTACAGTGATTAGTTTCGTATAAAATGATGTCCTGCGAATAATTTCGATTAACCAATGATATTTTGACAATATCACGGGATGATCTACAAAAATTAGCCAATCGGAATGAAAGCCCGCCATGCTACTTAACAGTGCTGATAATGTACTATTATGTAAATACAATTTTTTTGCAAAAATACGTATTTTTTAGTATTTTATTATTATAATTTAATCTTGTAAATATATTTGCCAATTAATTATAACAATAAATGTTAATATTAGCGATATGTTTGCAATAAATTAATGCTAATATTTTAGATAGTAATTGTGCTGATAATGAAGTAATTTTATAATAAATTATTAAAATAACTAATTTAGTACTTTTTATTGCTTATATTTGGCTAATTATTGCAAAATTTAAATTTTCGAAATTTTGCTAAGTATGATTTGTATCGGAGTAAATCCGATTATTTATATCCGGACGAATCTGACGATTTATATCAAAGTAAACCTGAGGATTTGTATCAGAGCAAGTCTGATTATTCGTGTTTATAAGTGGATCAGACATTTTCGCTCTTTGTTTCCTTCGATACAATCTGAAGCCAACAACCATTAATGTGCTAACAACAATAATAGATCCTATTACACCATCAATTATTGCACCTATATTTGATGGAGATGAAGGTGGAGTGGTACCTGGAGTTCCACTTTTTCCAGGCTGATTTCCCAAAATAAAGTTTGTCAATTGTGAATCTTTTGTGATGTCTGCAATCACAATTCCTGCTAAATTATTACTTTTTATATAGTCGAGTTTAGCATTTAATGATTGATAATCTTCATAAAAAGTAACATAGTAGTTTGAAGACGAATTTTGTTGTAGGTAAAGGTAGGGTTGTTTTGCATTGTTAATAAAACCATAGGTCCATTGTGACGATGGAATTAAGTTTGTAGGACAAGTTGATGGTGATAATAGACTGCTTAGATTTTCCCATAACAAATATGCATATGATGAATGTTTACATTAATCCGAAATCGGCTCATTGGCAAAAGTGAATTCAATATTTGAATTATTTATTGGTTGAAGTTTCTGGTTCTCAATGTCTGATTTAATATTATTAGAAGTAACAATTTCAACAATGCCACCAAATTCAACGCCTAAAACAAGTTTTGAAGGATCTATAAAATTCCAGTTTTCAAAAATTTGCGAAATTCTGTCTATTCCAGCACTTACATACGTGTTATTTATATTAAGACGAAATGCCTAAAATTTTATAAATGGATAAATAAATATTAATAATGTCACTTCTGATATAAGGAAAGAAAAGTTAAATATTACCTGAATATTTATAAAACTAATGAGGTTTGAGTTGATGCCCTTTATAGGATATTGGCCTGCCGTAATTGTTAACTTTTTGTTATTACCTAATCGTGTTGCTATAGCACTTAGGAAATTTGAAAAATCAGTTTCATTGAATCCTGTTGAAGGAATGCACGGATATTTAAAGGGATAATCAATGTCAATCTATAAGTTAACAGAAAGTGATTAATTAATTATTTAATAAAATAGGTGTCTCCAAGGATTAAATTTTCGGAGATTTCACTTCACAATATACAGGCTTACTAGACTTTAAAAAAATATAATGCTATCAATTCAAATGAAGTTATGTAACTATATATTTTCCTTCGGAGCTGATAAGCCATACTCTGTTAAGTGTTAAATCCGAAATTCAAGAATTATTGGTTTTCGTTTGGCGACACCCAAATAATCACGTAGATAATATAAAATCAGTTAATCCTACTCCATCAAGATTAAAATAAGTAACAATATAAACCAATTCATCAATGAATTTCATATTTTGTGTGCTATTCGATTCATACAAACTCTGCCGACTCACAATATCATGTTGAATCCCATTTATCGTTATATTCTGGACCTGGCTTTGGTTCAGATTCAGATTAAAGAATTTAGTTAAATTATTCCCATCGGTTGGTAATAAGACTGATAGAATAATCTGTAAAATGACAGTTTTGTTACTATATATACTATTTTTAATGTAGATTTAACACTTATTACTTACTTTAAAATTTGGACTGTTTTGTTGTTTATAGTTTAACAGTTCATAAAATTTGGAAGATTGATTATTAAAAAATTTAAATGGGTCACCACCAGTATCATTATTTTTGGCATTATTAACAAGGTCATTCGGGCCAAATGCTATACAAATATTAAATAACTTATTAAATTTAATTATAACAAAAAAAAACATACTTAAAGCTTTGATTTCTCATACCAATATAATTTATGTAATTAATTGATGAACTGATATTAAAATTTACCCCTGGTTTTAAATTAAGTTTGTAAGCGGGATAATATCCGATAAGAATCTTCGGCTTTGTTGGTGATAAATGGCATAAATCCTGACTAAATACTTTGTTTCTCGACACAATTATAAGAAGGGCATATAAAAAAAGCAATATGAACTTATAAAATGGTAAAAACAAAAAAAATTTCATGATTACTACAATGGCATATAAAACTTTTTGAGTATAGAACTAACATAAAAAACAACCCACAAAAAAAAAAAAAAAAATTCAGCAACAGACAGTTGTTTTCTTAAACAAATAAGCTACAAATGAATATTTGGATTATTCTCTATAAATAATTAATTTTCATTATCGATATCGTAGTGTCACAGGGAAGGTAGATGAAGCGAAATACAATGTTAAATTGTGTACAAGGATTTATAAAGGGGATACATGTTCCTTAGTGATGCACTAGTCAGAATAAAAAAATTCGACATGTAGAATTGCGCCATTAGACATGCCATTTGACATGCCATTAGACATGCCATTAGACATGCCATTTGACATGCCATTAGACATGCCATTTGACATGCCATTCGATCAACATTCGACAAACAAACATTCGACAACAATCAACAAACATTAGTCGAATGGCGTATTGAGTGGTGTGTCGAATTTTTTTTGATTTTGACAGTTAGATCAGGAAAAGTCCGAAAAAGACTGGAATAATATATAGTTATTTGTAAAAATACTCCATTATCTGATTTTAAATTTAATGTGCCACCTTCTAGGCCCCAGAAATGGTACGTTAAATTTAAAGCCAGATAAGTAAGTTATGCGTACAGCATTCAGTAACAGTATTATCTGATAACTTATGACGACTGGACCATCGGAATGACTCGCGTTATCACCAAATAACTTCGTTATTTGGTGATAACGTAATTACATCAAAATAACTCGGTAGTCCGATCATAGTAAGCTGCCAGATAACTATTTATTATCTTTAGAATTGAAATAATGTATGTGCCCTGATTTATTTAACATTAATTAGGATTCAACTTTTATAGAAAATCGTCAAATGCAACCACGGTGCTGTTTGTTTCAGAACTATAAATCGATACATTTTAATATTATAATAATTATAATTTTTAATGAATCTCAAGTTAAAGTAACAATTCTTTTGAATGCGAAAATATGTCCTACTTAATATGATTTCTATAAAAATGATGAGAACAAAATTAACCCGACAATGACATATATCGATATCTTATTGTAGACTACGTTGGTTCATATATTATTTCAGAAGAATCTTGTGTCAAAGTTATCTATTTAATGACTAAAAAGAAAATTAGATATAGTGCTTGGCAGCACGAAATCCATAGTTTTTATATTACACATTGATTGGAAGATTATAATGAAACATCGTAATGCAGTAATAGCAATATCAAAGTATACTGTTTTTTCCTACGAGAGAACGGGTCTGCGCTTAGTTTGTATACGGTTCTTCCTTTGAATATAACCTTCTGCAAAAATCGATTATTTCATAAAAGTAAGATAGTTAACATAGAACCTATACATTTGATAATTGTAATATGAATGCTAGAATGTTATCACCTCACTCAATGGATTTGAAACAAAATTTAATTGGTCGGCAATCAAATAAACCAATTAAGTAAGTTAGCATTCTGATGAATAAAATACGAAGGTGCAAACAAATTTTTTTTCAGGATTACTCTGATTGGATAAAATTTAAAATCATTTTCGCACAATGAAATTTCAGCATATTATTAAAAGGAATATTTCAATTAATCACAATAGCTAATTCAATGAACTACAATAATAGAACGATATCTTGATTTTAAATTATATTAAGAGATAACACCTTTAAATTTTTCTAAATGTATGCATTTTTGTCTTAAAGGCGGTCGAGTGGGAAGATATTGTTGAGAAATTCAGTTCCATAAGTTCTAGTTTTTAGTACGTGCTTTACATGCTGTTGGGGTGTAATAATTTTTTTATTCTACCGTTTTTTAAATATGTTTTACTACAAATACATGTCCAGAGCTTGTGATATATTCACCCAACCAGAATCACGAAAAATCTTGGTCTCATAATATTTGTGAACTTTAAATTTAAAAGTGACAGAAATGCAGATTAATAAAATATACAATTGAATGAAGATGCTGATGAAAAAATCTCATTAAGTTTTATAAATTCAACACCAATTTCATCATCGATGATGAAATTATTTTTATCAATTTAATTTAATTTCACCAGCTTGTAAAGTTGGTAAGCTGCAAAAGCTTTTAGAAACTTGACCAGATAATTATAATAGAGGAGAAAAAAGTTCACTATATATTCGCATTTCATATAAGCACCTCCTATAAGAACATCATGTTTATAAGCACATGAATCAACTACTATTAAATCTATATAAATAATTTCTATATATATATAGGAATACTTTTATGAGTTCAGATTGTTTTCTTAAGAGTACACTATACTTTCCATACCGAATATAACGAGCCAGCATAAAGTCTAAAAATTTATAATTCATTAGATTTAGAGTTCATTATTAAAGTTGCTAATTATAGAGAAAATTTGTTTCATGCTCATGTTGAACACTTATTTAATGGGATAAATCCTAAAGTATGCATGTTACGATTATAAACCAAATTTAAAATTTCTTTTACACAGTCGTAATATGCAAACTACATTAATTCAAGTGAAACTTTCAGAATATATGCATTTTGATCTTCTAAACAATCTTAATACACAAATATTGATTTATATAGTAAAATTTTGACTTTACTATATAATAGTTATTGATGAATTTTATTTCAAAGAGATAAAACTTTTATTATTACTTTAATATGTGTCACTTTTTTATGTGTCATATAAAAACACTAAATATTTCTTGAAAAATTGTAAATTTTTTAAAAAATACAACCACAAAGTTGTAGTAAATTGTTTAGCTACAAATTGGTAGTTTTTTCCTTAATACTATTTCTGGATCAAAAGATATTAGCTTTTAAAGTTTATAGTCTTTTTAATGTCATGCACTATTATAATTATAATTATAATTTTATACAACTCTAATTAGTAAAAATTAAATATAAATAAATATAAAATAAACTTTTGAGAACATAAATCTCAAAATAATTGTTCTCGCCATTTTAATAACTAGGAAAATGCGTAGCATTGTGTGTCTGGAGCGTATCATAAGATGATCAGCTTATTGCACAAAAGCGTGAATATGCATGTTTTTGTTACACTAAATTACAAATCTGAACACACATGCGGATCTTTTAAGGTCTGTAGCTACGCTCCAGACATATTAGGAGACATATGATTTGTATCCGAGTAGGTTGTATCAGAGATATACTTTGAAATAGACGTTTCCTCTTTGTGTCTTCGATATAATACGATACCAACTGCTAATGCGCCAATAAAAATAATGGCGCCTATTACACCACCTACTATTGCACCTATATTAAGCTGGGATTTAGATGAAGTGCCTGAAATTCTCAAAATAAAGTTTGTCAATTGTAAGTCTTTCGAATCTTTGGTGATATCTACAATCGAAATTCCTGCTAAATTATTAATTCTTATATAGTCGAGTTTAGCACTTAACGATTGATAATCTTCATAAAAAGTAACATAATATTTTGAAGGCGAGTTTTGTTGTCGGTAAAGATATGGTTGTTCTACATCATTAATAAAGCCATAGGTCCATGATGATGATGATGATGAAGTTAAATTTGTAGGGCAAGATGATGGTGATAATAAACCACTTAAATTTTCCCAAGATAAATATGCATATGATGAATATTTACACAAATCCGAAATCGGTTCATTAGCAAAAGGGAACTGAAAATTTGAGTCGTTTACTGGTTGAAGGTTTCGTTTCTCAATGTCTGATCTAATATTATTAGAAGTAACAATTTCGACAATTCCTCCAAACTCAACTCCCAAAAAGAGTTTTGAGTGATCTATAAAATTCCAATCATTTAACATTTGCGAGATTTTGTCTATTCCAGAACTTGTATACGTGTTATTTATATTAAGATGAAATCCCTAAAATTTTATAAATGAAAACAAAAAAAATTTATAATGCTACTTATTATTTAAGGAAGAAAAATTAAATTTTACCTGAATATTTATAAAATTAACAATGTTTTGGTTGAGGCCTTTTATAGAATATTGACCCGCCGTAATTGTTAAATCCTTATTACCTAATCGCGATGATATGGCATTTATGAAATTTAGAAAATCAGAATCAACGAATCCTATTGAAGGACTGCACGGAAATTTATAGGGATAATCAATATCAATCTACAAGTTAATAGAAAGTAATTAATTAATTTATTTGATAAACAGATGCCACCAGGGATTGATTTTCGAATATTTCACTTCACAGGATATGGGTTTACCACAAATCACTCTTGTTATAGCTGTATAGTGAACTTTCAACATAAGTATAGTTATATAAAAACCCTCTCGATATAATAGACTCTCGACGTAGAGAAGGAATCTTACAACCGACTTCACTATATATAACGAGAGTGACTTGTATAAGATTTTTAGGATTTTGTCGGATCATTTTTCCATGTGTATTATAATAAATTTAAAAAACCTTTAAACTGTTCTTTTTTCTTACTAAGTAAATTTGAGTTCTGTAACTTTGAATAATATGTAAAAGTGCATGACTTTAAAACTATGTTGATGGATTTTTGATTAATTTATAAAAATTTGTTATTTTACTATAAAGTTAACAAAGTTGCAGAACTCGATTTACTAGAAAAAAGTTAAGTTTTTAGAATTTTCATAATTATATCATTTAACATGGGAAAAATTATTACATATTCTCAATATTATTTATCATGCTTTTCAATTACCACCCGATGGTCGCCCAAGAAATCCGAAAATTTTGATTCTTTTTCATAACTAAATCTAATTAACTTGTCCGAGAATAAGATTTCCTGTTGTATTTCGATTCTTTAGTATTCTGTTCAGTAGTATACTAGAACTGATAGTTATTTTTGCAAAATCATATCAAAATTCCTCGTTTTTCTTTTGTTTAATTAATGGGTGTTTTTGTCTTTTCCGACCTAAAGAACTGCTAAGTTTACAGCGTTTCGCAAAAAGATGTGACTGTGATTTTCGTGATAATGATAGTGAGAAATTTCAGAATTGTCTATCTATATACACTATATTTTATTCTGAATCTCTAATCGCCTGATTCCTGTGATTTTACATGATATCATGATCTGTAAATGTCCACCTTTTGCAACCTCTAGTTATTGATATGATCATGTAAATTTTTTTTTGCCTTGATATTTTTGCAAATTTCACGACAAAAAATTTCACATGCTAATATAATATGAATATTAACATCGATATTGGACATACGAAAATAACAGGAAATTTTTTCATAATACGTCAAATATCTTATAAATATAATACTAAAGAATCGGAATTCAAAAATTCTAGAAAAATACAAATCACCATCATTATTTTGAGCTAATAAGCTATACTTCTTTAAGTGTCAAATTCGAAAATCAAGAATTAGAGGATTTCATTTGGGGGCACCCAAATAATCATGTTTAAACAAATGATTAGTTAATCTTACTCCATCAAAGTTAAAACTATTAACAACAGTAATTAAATCCCCAATGAATTTCGTATTTTGTGTGCTATTCGGATTATACCAACCCTGAATCGGATCCAAAGGTTGTTTATTAAAGAATTTAGTTAAATTATTTCCATCAGTTGGTAATAGGATTGATAGAATAAGCTATAAAATAACAATTGATTACTATGTATTAATAAACCTTTTTAATGTATGTTTAATAAATTAATTATTACTTACCTTAAAATTTAGACTGTTTTTTGCTTTATAGCTTAACAGTTTATACAACTTGGAAGATTGACTGTTAAAAAATACCATTGGGTCACCACCAATATTAAGATTTGCGCCATTATTAACAAGGTCATTTGGGCCAAATGCTATATAAATATTCATTTAAATAACTTATTAAACTTATTGTAATTACCGTATTCCTCCGAAAATAAGCACCTTTTTCGTATATAATGTTGGCCACGATGGTTGTAAAACGAACCAAAATTGGCATAGTGTGGGTCAGGAGTGCTTGTTTTAGTAGGAATATGGTAAATAGACTAAAAGCTTTAATTTTGCATACCAACATAGTTTAAGTAATCAATTGATGAGCTGATATCAAAATCCACACCCAGTGTTAAATTAAGTTTATAAGCAGGATAATATCCAACAAGTACTTTTGGTCTAGTTGGTGATAGATGACATGAATCCTGACTTAATACCTCTTTTCTCGACACAAATATGAAAAAGGTATATAAAAAAAGTAACATGAACTTATAGAATGATGAAAAAGATCGAATTTTCATGTTTATTATAACTTAATAAAGTTTTTCGGGTATAGAGTTAACATAAAAAATAATGAATGAATATATAATATAAGATGCACATAAAAAAAATCTACAAACAAATATTAGGATTGTCCTATATAAGTATGCTGAAATCGGATGATGCTGAAATTTGGGGCCTTAATTTGAAAATATAAACTCTACTAAAATTCACCTATACTTTTATATTATAAACACTAACCCTAATTTCTAGCATAACAAAACACCCCAAAAAAATTTCAAAATTTGATAATAAAATAAGTTAAAATTTCAGCATCATCCGATTTCAGCATTATCCCCGACAATATTTAATTCTTGGTTTTCGATATCATGTCACAAGGTTAGACAGAAGGAAATGTACATTCCTAAATGCACGTTCCATAATAAATACAAGCATCTCTCTGGTTCAACTAATATAACACAGATTTACCTCCTTAAATGTAAATGTTATACATACAATGCATGCAATTTAGACGTTTAGAATAGTATGTATAAATAAAAATATATGTAACAACTTTGGCATGTTGCACTTAGCTATATACTCACGTTCAAGTTATCTTCTCTTCTTTTTGAACAATTCTACTTTTTAAATTTACTTAAGCAAAAATCCTTTAACCTAATTATCAAGCATTATTTAATCATCAATTTTATCATTTATTAAGGGGATTATAGGCATATTCCGTAGAAGATATATCTTCCAAAATTTCTTCAAGGTTATTTATGCTATGATAGTATTTATAATTAAGGTTAGAGATAGGAATGTATATACAGTCAGTTCCCTCCAAATGCAACCCATGCACTATGAAAGCCTCATGGGTCAAACTAATATAATACTTATAGATTTTATGCCCTAAATGTAATACTCTCTAAATGTACGTTTGACAAATTTTACATATGGTCTTATCACGATGCATTTTAGAGGTCTAACTGCAGTAAATTTGCACAAGAAAAACTTTTTATTAGAGCATGAAGGGAAATTATCGATTTTTTCTTCGAACTTGTGTTTGGTTTGATCGTGTTACGCTACACTAAATTGTGGCTCGCTAACAAATACTGGAGATGCCTAAAAGCAATCTCGTGTAACATTGCATACAAAAATTAACGTTAAACCTTTGTCCGATATTAATAAATGGAATAACTACCGACACAGCATACACGTGATCTAATTCCCTAATCTCGCCATATTCTAACACTAACCTTAACTATAGTGCTGGTCATGCTGTTTCGTTAAGGTTAGTGCTTGTCATTAGCTGTGTCGATAAACTGTGTCGGTAGTTATTCCTTAATAAAAGTTATATATCACATGGTTTGTATACGGTTATATGATCGGTCAAAAATGAAAATCATTATAGATTCTCATTAAAGATACAATAGGCAAAGTTTAAAAGGCTATTACACTAACAGTTTCACTTTAAACTTAAATTTAAATCCTATAAAACAGAGAAACAAACATTGCGGATTATTTTATAAATGATTAAGAGAGAAAGTAATATTTCTTGTAAAACTATTTTTTATGAAGGTTTAAAGCCGAGGTGCCAAGAATTGATTTTTATTAAATTTCATTAGATGGTTATTGGGATATCTTCATTTGAAATTATGCATAATTCAAAACATCAATCAAATAGAAGTGCAGTAATTTTTTGAACACTTTGTATGAAGATATCTTGACAATCACCTAATAGAATTACCTAATAGAATTGATAAAATTTTTATCATTTTATTCTATAAATTTCTATATAGTTAAAACACAAACGTCTGTTTCACCTGCCAATTGGGTAATTTCAACGCAATTCTACTTAAATCGTTCACGTCGGGCTTAGCTTTAGTTCTACATATGTACGTATGTACACTGTATACATATTTTTTGGCGCACAAAAATTATGGCAAAAACATCAGAAGAATGGCTTGAAAAAGCTATTTTCGAGGAACATATTAATAAACTTGGATACAATAAATTTACAGACGCAAAATAATCGACACGGAGGCTTTGGAAAAGATAATGATTTAACAGTTGCACTTAAACGTCTTAAAGTCGATACCAATGAGATATTCTTGGGCATATACGTGCTTGTCAAAATTCTTTTTAACGCTAATTCAGATTTGATAACAATCACTCACTTTCACATACTCTCTCATTCACACTCTCACTCCCACACACGTCTATATACGGCGAAAAAACGGTTAAATGAGAGTATAAAAAAACCATTCATTAATACTTTATGTTTAATTAGCATGATGGAAATTGATTTGATTGGATAATTAATATTGTTACACGAATTTTTTATATTAATTTAAAGTAGCAATATCGAAATTTTATTATTAAGCCTCCTGAAATTCTGCAACATGGTTTTTTGTACGCTTAACTTTCATATAAAAGTTTGGGAACAAGTGAGATCAGGTGCTGAGAAAAGGGACGTTATCCGACATTTCATATGATGATGTGAGTTTTTGCCAGATATTTTTTGCATGAAATTACGTAATCAGTTTTGCAAACTATCACAGAAAAAATTTCACATGGTCATATTAACTACAGAACTATCCGATAACATTATGTGCTGCTACACAGCACATGGAGTGACATAACTCCGACAAAAAAAAATTGCCTGTTATTTTTTGCCCAATAATGTATACATATTGACAAAAAAAAAGATCTTCGGAAAATCAATTTTTATGTTATAAATCTCATAAGAAAATGCAAACTTTAAAGAGCTATACTGCAGAATTTTATTATTATAACAACTTTTATGTCTTAAATAAAAAATGATTCTAATCTTATTCTAAATTGATTTATATAAAAAAAGTTCATTTGAAAAAATTGTCAATTTCGTTCCTTTTTCACAAACTTTTTTTATTAGAAGCGATTCTGACAATACCGGTATGTAGTACGATAGTGTTACGGGGTGTTTTATTCGTTATGTTTACAAATAAAAGGAAACGTTAAGTATACGATAATTCGCCAGAGGCGTGACAAGGGTGATTTAGCAGATAATTATGTTTAAGGTTTTAGGAGTTTGTATTAAGTTTTATTGAAGCTTTATGCAAGGTAGGATTTTTATGATTATTTTATTGATTTCTTATCGTTTCCACTCCCTTTTTTACAAGGCGAAACTACAACTTTTTTATATCTTTCTAAATTATCGAGCGACGTAAGGGGCTTTGGGTTCACGCAAGTACTACTCTTTCTAAATCCTAAACTCCTTTGTTGATCAAGCTAATCCTTACATTTCTTACCTTATACATTCAGGTTTCCTTATTCCTTCCTGAACCTTCTCTATTTTACCTTTTACACCATTACTACTAGAACCTTTTAGAGATAATATCTAAGCCTTGTAGATCGTACGCGTATTTCTCCTTCTCGACAATCACGATCATTGTTCCGGTTTGGTGATTTACATACCGATTTCGGAAATGTCACTTTTACCCCGTGACAATAGTAATATTATGTATTTTTTGACTTTCAAGGGTAATAGTTAATAAAAAATAATAGAATTTCACGTGAGAAAGATTAAATAAAAAATCCATCGTTTCACGAAATACCATAACTTGTTTAATTTAAATTTATAAATTACAATGACGTTTACATTTAAATCTAATACTAATACTATTTATATTATTAGGTTCTATAGTAAAACCAATATTGTTTTTATAAATATATAATTTTTTCTGCAAAGTGCATCAGTTAATGTTTTTCCTCCTTCTGATCCAAGATTATTGGCGCTTAAATCTAAAGACGTTAAGGTAGTGTTTTTGTAAAGTGCATCGGCTAATGCATTCCCGAAATTTGATCCAAGATTATTATAACTTAAATATAAAGACGTTCTCGTATTTTTTTTTGATCCACGACATTTAGAAGAAAGGTACTAAGCTGAAGCGTTTTTTTTTTTTGATATTTATCTATATGCTGACTGTTCTTGAGAATTTGTTCATAAAGTTGTAATGCTTTGAGAAATTTGCCTTGATCAAAACATGGGCTTCTTTCTTCTTATCCTCAATATTACCTTCTTGGATCGAAATGTTTGAATTTATTGTATCAGACAAATAAATTGGAGATGATGTCGTAATGTCGAACGAATTTACGGGTACGGTTGGACTATCTTGATTATTTGAGGAAGAATTGCTATTGTTAGACCCGATAACGTGATGTGAATAAGATGTCGGGGCATCACGTAAGAGCGGGTATGGCGATCAATTCCTTGATATGGATATCCCGGTAATTAATCGCACTAATTCGATTAATTAAATATATCAAGGAAGGGGGGATTTAATGGCGAAGGAGGATTTAATAATTATAAGGGTTTATGTAGACAAATTGGAGGGATCGAATTAAATAAAGAAGAGGTAGAAATAGATTTTATGTAATTAAAGAGATCATAATTAGAACTTTAATATAAATAAAGGTCGTCTGAAAGGAAGAGTAAGTTCAGATTTAATTAAAGAGGCTGGCAGAAATGGCCCTTAGAGACGGTGTGTCTCGTTTGCTTTATTAAATAACAAGTCCCAATACATTGTATCGTCCATAATAAAACACTAACACTATACCCAGTATAAACCCTGTAAACCCCTATAAACATCGTCTAAAAATTTACCCAATTCGAACTGTTTCTTTTTGAAGGACTTTACTTCTCCAAATTTTCCTTCGAATTAATTTTAGATTTTTATTTGAAAAATTTATCTTTTTTTTTCGCCATGGACGTACCCGACAAACATCCCAACCTTCTCGATTTGCGACTCAACAATCCACCACGTCGTTCGTTTCTTGTTCACGTGACTTACACTACTGACCTTTGTTGAATCCAAGTAACCGAAAGCCTTAATCACCCACCAGCCAAATCTAACACCCTCTTTCGTAAAGGTTATCTACCGTACGTTACACGAGATTTTGGATTGTGAAGCGACCGAGTCGCAGTTTTCCGACCCAATACTATTTTGAGTTAATGCTTCACTAGAATTATGTTGACTCAAAGTTTCATTAGGAATAAGTTGTTTCGAAGTATTGAGAATTTCTTTTGCTTCTGGACGATTTGCAGATCGCTATTCCAACATCGTTTGTAATGTTCAATATATGTAGTTGGTGTGCCTTCAATCGGTTCTTCTCTATTTCCTTGACATATGTGAAAACAGAGGGTCATTTTTGCTTCCCAAAGGACTACACCAAAATTATAGACGTCAGGTTTCTTATCATTCTTATTTTTATGATCGATAAGGCTATTATTACGATTTCGTGGATTATAATTCTTAACAAAGTTTTGACAAATATTATAAAATCTCGGTTTAACTTGCGTTATACAGTATATTTTTTTTAAAACAATCTATGCCTATTCGTTAATGTATTTATTATGAAAGCTTTTTAATATTTGAAACTTTATTTTTTATCAAGTTCTGCTAGTTGGCAAGAACAATCTTTGTCATAAATTTTATAAATTTTTGTACAGACTAAGTACACCAAGCATACTTATACTAAACATGCATTCAAGTAAAAACTTAATTTTGGATGCGTTGATATTGTAGTATCGTTCAAAATACAGTTGCAAAAAAATATCGATATAATATATAATTATCGTTATATTACTATTCACTCCAAATCAAAAGTTTATCATAGCCGAAATCAAAAATTTATCGAATCGACAAATATCATTCGGTCAATTGTTTACATGTTGTCCCAAAATTAATGAATACAACTGTAAACAAAGTGATTCAACCGTATCGTGTAAGCAATGCGAGATATTCTAGTCAACTCAATGGGTTTAATTCATGGGTTAATTCGCGGGTTAATTCGCGGGTTTAACCTGTGGTTTAACTTGTTAACCTTTACCCGGGTTGGTATAATTCAGCCCGGATACCCGACCCCAAGGACGGGAAATACTGTCCTATCAAATCATAAGTTTTTATCACGAAAGCATCAATTTGTTCCATTTTATTCCAAATCATCTTTTTAACAAATCGAAATTCAAATTTTAATAAAATTTTCAATTTCCGAATACTATCACATGATAAATAACGAGTTTTGATTGGGTATAATATTTCATTTTATTCCATTCTATTATTCTTAATAACCGCCCTAGTATCACCCCAAAAATCAGTTATGTATCGGTGTTCAAAAATTTTTAGTATTGATATACCGATAACTTTGTCATATGATATAAGATTGAAAATAATACACGAAACAAAGTGAATAGTAAATATTTGTTAGAGTGATTATGCAATTTTGAATGATCGTTATTAGGGACCTGCACGGGCCTAAAAATTTGGACTTTTGCTGGCCCACTCGGCCCGCAAAATAAAATTTACTATGTTTTTTAAAATTTCGGCCCGCATTTTATTATGTTTATACCTTATCAGGCCCGCAGTTTTGAGAGGTTTTTGAAATTTTAAAATTTTGGCCCGGCCCGTGCAGGCCTCTAATCGTTATTTATAACCACCTGAATTTTTATTTTAATACGCATTTAAAAAATATAATGCAGTTTATTTTAACTGTAAAATATTACAAGGCTTACTACGTACAATGTTTTGCTAAAAAAAATTGTTAAGCTTTGCATGTGCAAATATAATAAAATGAAAATTAACTTTGATAATCTAAAAAAATTTCATTGCTTATTGCTGTAATCGATATGAATTGTGAGAGAAAAGACCTGTTATTAGATATTTAACTATCAATAAAATATAAGTGTTTAAAACTAGAATACTTGATTGTATATAAACTTACCAATTTATTTATTGCCAATAAAAGGTATTTGGATTTCGTCCATTCCATGTATTTCTTGTTGTTTTGACATTTTCAAATTTTTCTAAATCCTCAACCATTTTTTTTATAGGATTAAAGTTTTTTTCAACAGAGTATAATCATTTTTTTTGCTGGGGAAGAGCAGATGACTGTTCTATAAAACTCATAGTCTGCACAAAAAAAAAAGGTTATTTATAAAACACATATACTATAACTGGTAAAATATGCAATATATATTATATATACCTTTTCAAGTACAGTCTTTAGTTCAATAGCTTTATTATTTGTAACATCTATATTATTATTATTATTATTATCATTCAAATTATCATCTAAATTCAATTCGTATTCAACTTCATTATCGCTTATGATTATAGTTTTGTCTGGCTTATATTGTGAACTATTAAGAATAGTTTCCCAAATTGATTGATGTGCTTCATAAATAAGTGGATATTTGTTATTCTGTTGTACCAATCTAAAAAAAGAATTTTCTATATCTCCTAACAGAATAACAAGGTGCTTACAAAGAAAAAACGACTTTTAAAAAATGATGGACATGAACATATCCAACAATTATGAACTGTAAGATACTTGTTTACATTAGAATCATTAATTTTTTTAGTTAAAAGTTTTTTCCACTCATGCTTGAAATCTTTTCACCAAGAAGTTTGAATTCGTTCAGTGACAAAAAGATCATATTGATATAATAATTTTGGAAGCATTCTAGTAATTATTACATTACAAAGTACATTCAAACATAATCAATTAAATTTGTATAAAAAATCATGTTTAAGAATTCTCTAATGGGATTCTATAATCATTGTTGTATAGATAATTGAACCTGTTTTGTGTGCTAATAATGCCCAAAGATGCCAACATTTCCAATGATACTATTCTAACCATAAATAACTCCAAACATGAAATAAATCATGTCGATAACAATATTGAAAAATTTCATTAACAACTCTTATCCAAACTTCATTTGGTGTCAATATAAATTTCTTATCTGCTGTTGGGATTAACATATGACAATGATAATGTGTTTCAATATAATCTAAAATTTCTTTTCGTAAAGATGCTTCTAAAAAAATTTTTCTAGAATTTATATCTTTTTTTTTATGAGATTGCCATGTTGGATCAATTACAGTACATTGTTAATATACAAGAATGGCATTATATTGTAATATTCCTTTTTTATATTTTGATGAAAGTTTTTGCTCAACTGTACGCCATATGTGCCACCTACAGAGTTGAATCTCTGCATTTTTCCAGATTGCCAGCCCACTACTCATTTGAGCAAAATTCTTGTCAGAAAGGATTAGCTTTATTTCATTAAGACTATGATTATATAATGATTTAAACCATGCAGTAATAACTGCACGAATGTCTCTCCCTTTTCTATTTTCAATAAAACAGTAAGATACTAAAATCTTGTTCTATCAATTATAGCCATTACTGCATAAAGTTCATATTTTAATTGATTGGTGTTATACATTACATCAACTATAATAGTTTCAAATGCCTTACGTGGCAATTTATTAAAGAACAATGTTAAAAAATATAAGATACATGTCAGTGTATTTGATTCAAATACAATTTCATATCCTTTTTTATTCAAGAACAATTTTGCTGATTCATACTGATCTTCATGTCTTCGATAATGTTTTGATGCTTCATATGTCCACCAAAAATATACTTGATCAATGGTTAAAGTTTTATATTCACAAAGTTCTTTAGATATGATTATTCTATGAAGCTCAGGTGCTCTGTGTACTAAATTTTCATGAATAAATTGCTTAATATCTTCTGAAACATAAATATGTTTTGGCCTTTGATGAAGTTGTTTATGATATAACTTTATATTTGCAAGATTATCATTTAAATTTATATTAACAGAGAAAAGACCCTCATATGCATACCATACAAGATATGGTTCTCTGTTTCGTTGTTTGGATATATCAGCATGTTTTGGATGTTTTGAGATAAACTCTTTATGACAATTATACCAATAATTAAATGACTTCTTTTTTTTGGTTTGCGAGACAGTTTTTGTATGATAAACATAATTGTAACCATCCCCTTATTCAATACACTTGACAATTTTATTTGCAAGAAATTGTTCACGTTGATCATATAATATGTCTGATGGAATTTTTTCAATAAGCATATCTAAATTAATTGTCATTTCTATATAAAACTCCTGGTCACTTTCTAAATACTCATTAATGTTGTCTATATTTATTAGAACCATATGAACAGTATCTGTAACATTCTCAATGTCGATAGCATTTTCTTTAGCATCAAGTAAAGCAGAAATAGTAATTTCTTGATGTTTTCGCTTTTTACTTTCATTTATTCATGTCAAACAACTAATACAAGTTTTGTTTCCTTAAAAATCCTCAAACGCCTTATAACTTCGATATGAGTTACAATATTGTAAATCCATTAATGGTTTCTTTTTGAGTTGATTAATATTAATGTTAAAAAAAGTAAAAGGAATTTTCATATAAAATAAATTTATTTTACTAATATTGCCTTTTGTAAATATTTATTACGAAATTATTATGCAAACTACAAATTAATATTATTATGCAAAATTATAACCTTCGGAGTTATATTAAATCCTGAGCTTTAAACGTAACTGATCTTTGGGGCGATACTGGGTTCGTGTATTCTTAATCCTTTCCTGCATAGCGGACTTTATTGTGATTGGCTGATTTTTCAGATCATCTTTCATAATTAAGTCTTATTAAAGTACTGATTTTCCGTCAGAATATTAAATTCAGGGCCACGAATACGAATTCAGGAGAGGTAAGACAAAAACAATTAGAAAATTCACACTTTACTTTATAAATTGCCAAAGTAATTCGGAAGTTAGATGAGAGGTATGTCCAAACATTCAATTTAGCCAAATAAGTCATAAATATAATATACAAATCTATTAAGTTTAGTAATTTGTTTCTGAAAGAGTTACTTTCGTTAATTTATTTTATTATGTTTTATTTATAATCTAAGACAGGTACTGTCAGTAATATAGTTAGTAAATAATTTGGTAACAAGCCTAGCAACACGAAGTAATGAAGTATAAGTTTGTAAATTTCGAGATTAGATTGTGATGTCACGTTGATTATTATTAAGGTTATTAGGGTCAAATAGTTTGATGTCAATAAAACTAGTATTTCGATTATGATTTATTTATATGTTTTTAATGTGCTTTTTGTACTTCAGTATCTTTATTTTTTTATTATTTCTATTTTTTTTTTTAATCCATGTATGTATTTAATAAAGCTCTTGATTTATAGGATCTTGTTTGTACTAATAGATTTTTAATTGAGATATTATAGTAATGTTTTATTAAGTCCAATTTAGTCTTATATAAAATATTTTGTTACAATTTAGCTTCATATAAAAAATCTTAAACGTTAAACGATCTTTGATTATCGATTAACCAATCATATTTTGCAAATGTCACGAAATGATCTGCAAAATCAGCCAATCACAATAAAAGCCCGCCATCCTCCACACATGGTGTGATCAATTAAACTGAAATTATTTATATTAGTTTTAATTGATCACACCATGTGTGGGATTCACTCTGGATCGGGTACGTTCCTTCCTGTTCCCTACACTAGCAAAGGACGGTCATATAACGGCCCTTGCTCTCTCACAAAAAATTGTTCACCTTCTGTAATTTTGACCAATCGAAGTTTAAGATCAGGTGTAACATAAAAATCGAAACGAAACACTTTTTTTTAAAAAACAGGAATAACTCTAAATATTTAGTGAGAAACCAATTGCCACACAAAAAATGCGCAGCAATTTGGCCTCTATTAATTAATTTTGGCCGGAAATTGAATTTGTTAATTCTTTAGCTACAAAAAAGGAAATTTTTTAAAAAATAGGCCTGCTCCATGGTAAAATTGGCTCAGGAACATATTTCACTTAACATTGATGAGCAGTTGCAGTTTCATTAGTAGAATTTTGGCCTAATTATTTTTTTGCCACGCATTTTTTGTGCGGCAGCTAGGTCCAATTAGGTAACCACCTTATGCGGCCTAATTAAAAATGCTTCTCGTGAAATTCTACTGATTACCATTACAGTCTAATATCTTATAAATTTATCAGGCGTGAAAGAGTGAATCCAGAGTAAATCCAGAAATAATGATAATGCATATGAAGAAAGCTTATCTCTAATATGATTTTAGAAGATTCAAGACAGCCCATTTAAATTTTTTACCACCGATATTGCAGATTCTAGTATTGAGGATCTTGTCGACACTGATTTAAGTGTTGAATTAGAAATTAATATTTAATGTAATATTTTATTTGCATTGAAAGAAATTTAAAGCTTTAAACGCTAATGTATATTAGAGAATTTACTTTATATAATACATTATATAATGAAGAACTATTTTATAAACCACTCTTGTTTTAATGAAGTGACCGTTTCATTGATAAAAACTTTAAAGGTCCATTATATTGAAGGCCTATTTCGAAAGAGTTTAAAATAAATAGCTTTGATACTTTTTCATATCGAAGATTCACTATGACAATGGCCGGTATCGTCAAATATTATGAAGTTACGGCATAAGTCAAATGTTACGACAAAATTCACATACATCTACATCAGTTGTAGCTTTTTGACGTATCGGTCACTACACAAAAAAGTTACGTCACTTAAATCAGTTTAATTCAAGGTTTTATGATTTACAATTCGCAATAAGTATTTATTTGGCAACCAACGTTACAAAGGTTTGTTTTGTCTTGAACTATATCCTTTTTTTTTGAACGCATTCCGAAATCACTCTAGCGTCACCAACCTAGAAAATTTCGTTATCTTGTCCAAGATCAGGTGTAATATAAGGTCAAACCAAAAATGTCCAAACCCTAACGCTGGTAGCAACGCTAGGGTTTACGCATTCCGGAAAATTATAGGTCTGAAGAATGATTCGCTGTGCCCTCGATTGTTGGTAACGCTAGTGCCTTTGAATAAACGGATACGGATAAACTTTGCTTTATATGAATTATAGACAGATGCCAATTAAATAAAAGATCATTTATTCTTATATCCCTTAATGCTAACCCCTAACTTTAAAATTTTTACCAAGCTTCCTTTTTGGGTTTGTATTACCGACACAATTAAATAAACCCGTCCACTCTAGGGGGAACATATATCAGACCTATTTATGGTAAAGATTGCAACTAAAGATGCTGATAAATAATTTAACACTAGCACTAGGTGGAATTGGTGAAATTTAATGAAATAAATTCACCAACATCTCTCATTATAGAATGAAGGTCGTACTAAATATAAATTTCGACCTCATTCCTATTGGCATTGCATAATGGAAATTTCGTCCGAAAACATCAAAAAAGCAAGAAATAAACATTTATACAGGACAATCTTATGATATTTTGTACTTTTTTTTAAGGCTTTTTCTTAAGAAAACAACGAATATTAATGCTAAATTTTTTGTGTACATTATCCCATATATTCATGGTTTATTCTTTGTTAATTCTATACTTATAACTTCTATGCCATTATAATAAACATGAAAGTTTGTTTTATTTTACCATTTTATAAGTTCGCCGTGCTTTTTTTATACGTCTTTTTCATATTAATATTGAAAAAAAAGGCATTAAGTCAGGATTCATGCCAACTATCACCGACTAAACCAAATAAACTTATTGGATATTATCCCGCTTATAGACTTAATTTAACACCGGGAGCAAATTTAACTATCAGTCCATCAATTGATTACTTAAACTTTATTGGTATGAGAAATTAAAACTTAACGTGTTAAGTCTATTTAATTACAATTAATTTTAATAAGTTTAATATTTATTTAGCATTTGACCAAAATGACCTTGTTAATAATAGCAGAAATGGTGGTAACCCATCATCTATATTTAGCAGACAATCTTCCAAATATTATGATCTGTTAAATTATAGGACAAAAAATAATTTACAATTTAAGGTAATAAATATTAGATCTACATTAAAAAGACTTATTAACGTTAATAGTAATGATGAATTGCTATGTTATAGATGATTCTATCAGTCCTGCTACCAACTGACGAGAATAATTTAATTAGTTTCTTTAATATTAATCCAAACAGTTCTACGTATAATCCGAGTAGCAATCCAAATTCGAGATTCGTTAATGACTTAATTAGTATTGTTAATACTAATGGTTTTGACGGAGTAAGATTAACTCATTTATTTTATATTATTTACGTGTTATTGGATGTTGCACCAAACGAAAACCAGCAATACTTGCTCCGAATTATTGCACTATTTCATCATATTAACATTGATACTTGAGTCGATATCATTAGATTAGATTTGTCAAAGTTCGGTAAACCTGATTCTGTGAAAAAAATATCCGAAACTCAAGGATTGCTGGTTTTTCTCTTGGCAGCACCCATTTATTAAATAAATAAATAAATAATATATATATTAACTTGTAGATGGACATTGATTATCCTTATAAACTTCCATGTGGTCCATCTGGATTTGATCCTGTTTTTTCAGCTTTCCTAACTAGCATAGCAGCACGATTAGGTGATAAAAGTCTAACGATTACAGCAGGCCAATATCCTATAAATATGACCGATACGATCTATAGTTACATTGATTTTGTAAATATTCAGGTAAATTTTGCCTTTTGTTTACGTAAGAGTGATGTTATAAATACAGTATCTATTTATCTATTTATAAATCTTAGGCATTTCATCTAAATATAAATGACACAACTACAAGTGCTGGAATAAACAAAATCTCACAAATCTTGAGTCCTTGGAATAGTTTTGTAAATTATTCAAAACTCGTGTTAGGCGTTGAATTCGGTGGCATTGTTGAAGTTGTTTCTGATGATAGTAATAGTATTAAATCGAACATTGAGAATCAAAAACTTCGACCAGTGAATGACCCAAATTTTAATTTCCCTTTTTCTAATGAACAGATTCCAGATCTGTGTAAATTCTCATCATATGCATATTTATCATGGGAAAATTTAAATAGTTTATTATCACCATCTTCTTGTCCTACAAATTTAACTTCATCATCGTCAGCATGGACCTATGGCTTTGTTAGCAATGCGAAACAACCATACCTTTATCAACGGCAAAATTCGTCTGATCTGTCTTCAAGATCCTATGTTGCTTTCTATGAAGATTATCTATCGTTAAATGCAAAACTCGACTATATAAAAAATAATAATTTATTCGGAATTGCGATTGCAGACATTACTAAAGATTCGAAAGATTTACAATTGACGAACTTTATTTTGGGAATTCCACCAAGTCCATCTGGAAAAAGTGGAAAAAGTGGAACTACAAGTACCTCTTCACCTTCACCCGCATCCACATCACTGCCCAATACCGGTACAATAGTGGGTGGTGTAATAGGCTCCATTATTTTTGTTAGCGCATTAGTAGCTCTTGGCATCATATTGTATCGAAGAAGGTACGAAGCAAAAATGTCTAATCCACTTATAGATACAAATAATCAGCCTTGCTTGGATACAAATCCTCAGGTTTACTCTGATATAAATCGTCAGGTTCGTCCGGATACAAATAATCGGATTTTCTCGGATACAAATCATAAAGTCTTCTAATTATTAAAATGGCATGCTTTATACTAATAAGTGTCTAGCACGGGATTGGCTACGTATGAGACCAACTTCCTCTATAATTAATCACCTTAATAACGAACTCTAGATATAACGAACTGTAAAATTTTAAACGTTGTACTAGTTAGTTATATTCGGTATGGAAAATGTATATCCTTAATAAAGAGTAATCTTATATAGCGAAATTTTTTTCTCCAAAACCATAGGTTCACTATGTATGCTTTTGCAATACAAATTTAATAAATTTTCTTTCTGCTACTATGATTACATGTAAAGTTAGTGAAATTACGTTAATTTTATTATTATTGATAAAATCGATGTTGAATGTGAACTTTAGTGTAGCTTATTTTTTGCAAATTTAAGTGGCAATAATGAAAAGTCATAAAAATCATGGATACCTAAAATTACTGTCCAGAGTGAAACGAAGGACATTTTATTTTAGCAAAAGATAAGTATCAATCGTAAAAATGGCATAAAGAAAGAAAAATTTTTGAAAACCTATTTTGAAAAAAGACAGTGTATATAATTTCGAATTTATTATATGTGAAATAATAATAATAATAAATGACTTTATTAATTGGTAAACTGAATCAGCACAGTCTTCTTAGAAATAATTACATTTTTTTCGACCATGTTTATCAGGTCCAACAAAGATTGTAAAGCTTAACCGGATTTCTTTTAAAGAAATCTTTCGTGAATATGAGAAATTGAAGAATTTTTTTGAATGTTAATACAGTAAAACCTTCATAAGTGCACGCTCTTGGGACCGAACTTTAATGATGTGCACTTAGAGAACAATAGGAAAAGTGCATTTATGGAGGTCATGTATATATTTAGGCCCAAATTTAAGTGTGCATTTAGAGTGTGTGTGCACTTATAGAGGGTGCTCTTATGGTAATCTAGTGATGTGGAAATCATATATTTGATTGTACAGATGTACAATAACCGAATTTAGAATAATACCAGGTAATTTAACATTTTTTTATACCACGAATGAATGCAATGCAATGAGTTTATTGCACGGATCTTAGGAACGGGATTGTTACGTCAGACACCTGCAATAAGATGGTTATTGTATGGTTTATATGCAGTTTAAAGTGGTATCCGTTCACAAAGCCTTACATATATCAAAAAGATTTATACTATAAATTAAATAAGCACCCAACATGAGATCGGTTACGTATGAGGCCAACTCCCTCTATAATTTAACGAACTCTAGATATAACGAACTATGTAAATTTCTAAACATTATACTGGTTTGTTATATTTATATATAGAAAATGTAGCTAAGTTTTTTCTTCAGAACCACAGGGTCAATTGCCTTCTGCTAACGATGATTATTGAAGCAGCTTATATGTTGGTGTGAAATTAAACTAGAGTGATAAAATAGCCACAGCATTATTGATAGCGTCTCCATTCACGTGTAAACTAAGCGTTCTGTAAAACAAAATTAATTTGAGAATATAAATATGGGATTATTTTATTACTGTTTCATATAATCTTCCAACTGGTATGTAATATAAAAATTATGAATTTTGGGTTACTACCAACTACTTGTCATCAGTATCTGCATTAAAATTAACATTCTAAATTTTAAAATAGATAAGGTTCTTTTAAAACAATATTTAGTCCGCATATGATCTATTACGCTTAATAAGATATCGATACATGATAACATTATATTGTCGTGTCTAATTATCTTTATAGAAATCATATATTCAAACCTAAGCTTTAAGCTGATAAATTATATCCTAAAAACCATTTTCGCTTTCAAGAGGATTGGTACTTTGACTTGTGATACTTTCAAAATTATAAATATCATGACATGTAAATGAGCATGTTTATAGTTTTGCAACAGATAGCAACGTATCTTATAAATGTAGTTTGTATAAGTCGAGGTACATCTATACTTGCTGGACAAATCCGGACAAATCCCAAACCCCTAAAAAATAATTAGCAATTATTTTTTAGGGGTTTGGGATTTGTCCGGATTAGACCAGCATGTATAGGTACATCATATTGTTGATCGATATATACCTAATTCAACTTGAATTTTAATGAAGATTATAATCCCAGTCTTTTCTCAGATTTCTAAGAACTATAGTATCCCTTCATTCATCCTTATGCATCAATTTATCCTCTTGCTTCCTTCCATTTAATTTTTCTGTGACACTACATCAATAATTAAATATTTACATAGGACAATCCTAATCTTAACTCATTTGTAGCTTTCTTTGAAATTTTATTTTTCTGAAAAAAGATACAATCACCTTACTACTTTGATACTAATTTTTTTTCTGTATATCTTATGTTAATTTCAACAATTCCATACTTTTATATGCCATTATAATAATCATGGAATTTGGTTTTTTATCATTTCATAAATTCATAGTGCTTTTACTATATACCTTTTTCATAATTGTATTGAAAAAAAAGGTAATG